TCTCTCACTCACTCACTCACTCACTAACTAACTAACTCACAACTCTTTAACACAGAATATTCTGTAAAAGTTGAGTTATTTTAAGAATAAACTTGAATAATACTCTTTTTGTTGGTTAATACTATATATATTTATACGATATTATTATCTATGATAAAAATTTATACCATTATATTGTATAAAAAATAGTGAACACAATGCGTGTATAAATCAATTCTTTTCCATTTAAATGAAAGAATATTTTTTAAACAAGATATATTACGGTCTACACAATGGAGTTGTCGACAATAGCATCCGAGTCAAGACATGTCCATCACAGCCATTGATAATAGTTTATTGAATTTATATAACTCTCTCTCTCTCTCTCTCTCTCTCTCTCTCTCCATTTCTTGCATAACATTGATGTTGACTGCAATATAAGTCTATAAAATATTTCACAACTTATTATATTGACTTTTGGCTTATCTATGCGCTACAGTCTCTATGCAAACAATGTAAAGCATCGCCACCAAAAACAGGCACACACATAACTCACAACTCTTTAACACAGAATATTCTGTAAAATTTGAGTTATTTTAAGAATAAACTTAAATAATACTCTTTTTGTTGGTTAATACTATATATATTTATACGATATTATTATCTATGATAAAAATTTATACCATTATATTGTATGAAAAAATAGTGAACACAATGCGTGTATAAATCAATTCTTTTCCATTTAAATGAAAGAATATTTTTTAAACAAGATATATTATGGTCTACACAATGGAGTTGTCGACAATAGCATCCGAGTCAAGACATGTCCATCACAGCCATTGATAATAGTTTATTGAATTTATATAACTCTCTCTCTCTCTCTCTCTCTCTCTCTCTCTCTCCATTTCTTGCATAACATTGATGTTGACTGCAATATAAGTCTATAATATATTAATCAAATTCAGTAAAAAACAAACTCAGTTTTTGACATAACTTTTTACGAGAGAATATTGAATTCAATAGAAATATAAATATCAGTCGTAATCATAAGAAACGATATTTTATTTAAATGTAAATATTTTTATGTCATAATAAAACATAATGCGGACAGTAGTGTCGGAATAATAAAAATAATATTTGCGCTCAAAGTGTTATCGGAATAAATAAATTTTGAAAATTTAGATGAAATATATACACGAAATGAGTCGAAAGTCTCAAATAACTCGGGTTTTTGTTTACAGAAAACTTTTAGACTTCGCGAATGATATGAAAAATCTTTATTAATATTAGGTTTTGTGTCAATGTTTGAACACCAACTCTAAAAAGAGTCCAAATTAAATATTGTCCGAAAGTACATACAAACTTTCGTATTCAATATAATGTAATATTAGTGAAAATTAAATCATTGGTGCGAATTAGTTATGATATTCAGTCAAACAAAATGTGATTTGCATTTTCATTAAGAGAGTGAAGCAAAGGGATAACACATTCACTCGGATTCCTATGCATTCCTACCAAAGATTTTCATAATTAAGAAAAAAGATATTTTTCATAAACTTCTTGCGACCGCTTATTTCGATGACTACTTGTTTTATATGTTGTGTAAGAATATATAGATATATAAATTATAATTGAAACCTTTATTTCTGACACTATAGTACAACAAATAACTAAAACACTAAAATAAATATTTAGCTTAATTCCTCTAAATGTAAACTCGAATCTATTTTAAGTTATTTTTGTGAATATAAATGTTTTTCTATTCTATCGATGATTTTCCTAATGATAATATTTATCATATATTGTAAATTAATATCATTTTGTAAAAATAATATTCTTAAAAGAATACAACAATTCATATGAAAAGTGATTGAATATCTCATATAATATTTTTAAGGAATTGAATGAATAGACTAACTATAAATGAGATGGAAAACTACTTTATATGTATATCATATGAATAATATTTTGTTCACTTAACTTATTGTAAAACATTTGGTTACTAAAATATATACGCGTATATAATCTAAACATGTATTGAAAAGTTTTATATCAGAAACTAAAAAGAATTTGAAAAAATTCAATTTAATGTAAAATAGTGAATAATATAACAAAATATATTTACTGTATGTATGATCAAATAGCATGCGTTTAGCAAACTATTGGTTTGAATAGCATGTGAATTGGATTTATAATTTAATGTGAGTTTGAATTTAATCAAAACAAACATTTGATAGTTTATGAACGCAAAATACGTGACGAATACAATATTTTCATAAATATATTGTGTATTCATATCAAAAAATTGTCAAAAAATCATTTTATTATAGCAAAACATATTCAAACGTCTGATGTTTTTTGGTGTAAAATTCAATACTAAAAATCAAAGGCATAGGGAAATAGTGAATAAAACATTTATAAATATAAATAGCGAACACAGAAAAAATAAATATATTAAGAGTTATTATATTTTTGTGCTTTGAATCGCTTTCATTCATTTGTAGGCAAAATATCAAAACTCAAATGCATTACAGAATAAAAGGGATGGAAATAAAAAATAGTTGTCTCTTAGAAACAGAATAAAAATATATAATAGTATATATATAAATGTATTTATATATATGGCTCTATTTCACTATTAGTTTATTTATATTTGGTGTAACTTTTTTTCTTGCTATGTTGTAAATTTATATAACTTATAGCACTGTAAGGACTATTCAGCAAACAAAATGAATTATACAATATTTCATTGCATTGCCTTTAGTTAATGTGTAGTCCTCTGTGTTAAGCCTCGCAATGAAAACTATACTAATCTTCAAGAATAGGATTTATTCGCAAAATTTATTACTGAAAAAAATAGAAATGAAAAAATTCTGCTATTCTTTTGCTTTTCTTTTATTTTAAGACAAAATTTTTCATTTATGATGAGAGAGAGAGAGAGAGAGAGAGAGAGTTTTGTGTATCCTTTTGTGCAAAACTCTGTTATTTTGCAATCTTCTGCATTTAGAGACAAGATTTGAGTTTCAGATGCAATGAATACTTTGGGTATTATGTGCTCATAGAGTACAGCAATGCATATATTGTGCGCTCCTCTGAGAGGCGAACCAAATCTTTTCGCCTGATTTATAATACATGGCATTCAGTGTATGAGTTATATAAGTCTCGGCTCAACACAACAAAACTATAGCCCAATCACTACTATGTATTGTATTATTATTTTTCGAGTATTATATCATTTTTCCGGGTCTTTCGCGTCTGTGAACATCATATGTTCGCTCGTTATTCACAATTTGTTTCATTGTGTTGTATATACCCAACACTCAAATACATCCAAATACACAGAAATACTTCACTAATTTTACGTTTTCTAAAATTACTCATCAAAATAATACCTTTATAATGAGGTTAAGTAGTATTTAATAAGCCTACTCATTCTCTCTCTCTCTCTCTCTCTCTCTCTCTCTTCCTACAGAGTCTTTCATAATAAATCTGTTTTAATAACAGCTATACATATATTTTTATAATATATTTTCTGTTTTTCTCTCTATACTTATAAATGCCTATAAATGAGATGTTTTCATAGAAAATGTTTAATAAATTATATTTCGCTTTTTATATGCAAACGAATTACTGATGATTTTCTCTGCCATTCCTGTCTCTTATATTATGGGTTAATAAGAAATTTGTTTGAATCAAAGCAACGGCTCATCTCTCGTGTGTATGTCTCGGCTCACAGAGTCTACAAACGTATGATTTATGGCCGGATCGCTAATAATGATAACTATTATTAATAGAGTTTTTGCGATACTCTCTCATCAATTGGTCACTCAATACATACAGTGAGAGAGAAAAAGAGACCAAAATTCGTGAAATTTATGCCAACATTCCGGACAATAGACAACAGAAAGCTTTCAATTATAAATTAGTTCACATTTTTTGCCAACAAAACTATTAATAAAAATATTGTCATTTATTTGATTGTTTTCATTTCGCTTTCGTAGTTATTATTGTGTTATTCGTAGAAAAGTTTTGACATTTCCCGAGAAGTTATAATTATTTTCTTTAGAAATTAATTACTTTTTTTGAACGACAATCTCGTAATTGATTACAGATATCATACTTTTTCTCATAACTATACTAATTGCTAGAAAAATACCTTATTATAAAAATTCATATTTAATTGATTTAATGCTAATAATCTCTCGCATTATACTAATATGTAATCATTAGTAAGAAATACAATACGAATTTCTCATTAATATAGAAATCATTGCATTCGTGTCATTAACACACTAATTAAATGTTTATATAAGTTAGTCATTTATATTAATAGCTCAATTATAAGTCAAATAAGTTTTAAATACTGTCGCAATTAATAACTTATTGACAGTTTAATACATAATCATCAATTTATATTCAATACACTATTTGTTTTTAATGCTACTTGAAATGGCAATGATACTGATACTTTTTAAGCTACAAATATGAATACTTCATTAAAGTTTTCGATGAGAAAGTTGATATGAGTTACAATTATTTAGATAGCATTAGTGCACAATTTGATTGTTACATAATATTATGTAATGTGCTTGGTTGTGTTATAATATAATGTGGTTATTATGAGTAATGTTAGAAAAATACACGAAATCACGGGAAATGGATGCGATGGTGAAGTGCGAGCCATTGGTGATGAAACGGGAGGCGACTGATGAGGAACTGGAGTTCAGATACGACGAGTTGACTGAAGCACTCGATGTTCACACTGAGAGCAAAGCGAACCAAACTCCGGTTCACTGGACACCCGTTCAGAGCAATACTGGCCACACATTTGCCTATGATTTGCATAGTGTTGACGATGTGGTGGGCGAGAGGGACACAGAACTGCTGATGACTGGAGTTCCCGATTATGTGATGTTAGGCACCAATAGGACAGTAGCCAAGGGTGTGAACGTGACGGACATGGGAATCAAGATGAAACGGGTGCCGAGCAATCGTACGGATCAACACAAATACCACATTTTCATACCATTCAGTGATATTGTCTTCGGTATTATTTGCGGACAAAAATTCCAATCATTTCTTTCGGACAGTAATTGTCTCTGTCCTTCATCAGCGCAATCACTGTCTAATACTCACAGTACTGGCGGTCTGTTTAGGCATTTGTGTCCAGAGAGTGACAGTAACGCAGATATTTGAGACCACTTTCAGGTGCAATCAATTAGTCAAACTTGACATTCAGTGTGTTTATACAAATTGAAACTAAAGTTATTTCAAATATATTCTGTATCTCACATATAGCTGCCACAGAAGTTCCATCGAAAGTTCTTGTCTTAAGGTCCGGCAATTTATTCAATTTGAAGTCAATTCTGGTGTGAATTCTCGGCGCGGGTTTCACATCCATTCGCACGGTTTGTATGAATAGTTTGGTCACAAAATCGGTTAATAATTCCTATGTTTCAGACGTAAGGGAACAGAATATTCTGATTGTAATGAAAGAGGGAATGAGTGCCACGTTTGCGGGACTATTAGCCGACAGATGCAAGCGTGAGAATAGGGGCTGTGATTGCAGTCCTATCGGTGTCACTGAAGCACAGGTATTATTGAACATAAACACTGTGTTTGTCAAACAGGAGGTATGACTCCGGCCACAGTTGACACTGCCATAGAAACGGTAGTCATTGGGCACTGTTAGCCAACACTCATTAAATGAGATAATAACATGGATTCACAACCATTTCATTGAAATGTATAACGAAAACTATTTTATTGATAATTAAATGCCTCGAAAACTACAACAAATCGCTTAATTAAAGGGCTGAATGACATACACCTCGGGCTCCTTAGGTAGTGCCGTCTGCAGCTCCGACACCCAGTCGGCCAACGGCTTCGGCGGTCGATTCTTGCGGCCACAGTAGCCGTCCTTCCGATGCCAGGCGCCAGAGCGCGGCCTTATGCCCATCCATCGGCTCTTTTGGGGACACATCCTATTGAGGGTGTGGTGGTATGGGTTGGACACCCGGCCCACTGTCACCATACACTTCTCGTCTATACAGACATCTCTATTCGCTCTATTCATGTGAAGATAGTTTCTTTTGCCGACTCTTCGCGTCACTTCCGCGTAGTCGCCGGCGTAGCGCACGAACCGTCCGCCCTCTCCCGCCACCACCTCTATGTTGTGCACTCGAGTGCCGATGGGGAGGGCCCCCACCGGATGCGAGTCGCCCTCTTTGGGTCGCACGGGATTGCGGGGTATCGCCGAAAACGTGCGGATTATGTCTCCCGTTTGCATCGTTTCCGATGCGATAATCCAACGAACCTTCT